TTTCTCTTTTTCTTACACTGAAATACAAAAGAGGTTATCTGATCCTCAAAATAATTACTACAGGCAAGATCAGGAAAAAAATGACTTTTTGTTGATTAGTTGCCAGTCTGGGACACCAATCACTGATATTCAGGGGAAGAACAATCTAAGAAGTAAATAGATGGACAAGACTCATTCATTCTTTCATTCATTCATTTTACAGGTGTTGGTTGAATCACCACCCTAAGCCAGGCATGTGGTTGATATCTGAGAGAAAATGTTGAATCAAAAAGAGGTAGCCCCTGCCTATGGAGTGTTTAATATCAAAATACAGGTGAGACTGTAGAACAAATATTAAAATTAGCCATGATTTCAAAGAGATCAAACTAGTTATGGGAGGTTTATTTTAATAAGTCCTAGAGATCTACTGTACGACATTGTACCAATAGTCTACCATACCATATTACACACTTAAACATCTGTCAAGAGGGTAAATTTCATGTTAAATATTCTTACCACTGTGGCATAATAAAATAAAATAAAATATCAGGATACTTAAGTAGCTGGCCAAGTGACTGGCTAAACCACCAACCAGACCCCAGCTTCCTGGACTGTCTCTGTCTTTGTCTCTGTCTCTGTCACTGTCTGTCTCTCTCTCTCTCCCCATCCACCCCTGGCCCTCTCTCTCTCTATAAATTAAGGCCCAGAACAGGGAAGTGATACAATCTGTCCAGGACCAGAATCCATATTTCTTGACAACATAACGTTGTTCAAAGAGTGAAAAGCTGTAATAATATATTTCTTCCTCTCCATTTCTCCTTGGAGATGTCTTGCCTTCTCCCAGGTTTCTCCTATCCTGGCTTATCCTCACATTGCTGGAAGATCTGTAAAGCAGAATTTGATGTTTCCTTCCTCCTTCCACAATCTTCAATGTCTCCCCATTACATAGAAAATAAAGAATAAAATTTTTAGCCCAGCATTCAAGGCCCTCAACCATTTGGTTCTAATTTTTTTTTTCTTTTTATTTCTCTTTAATGTAATCATTAATCCAATCAAGCTCAACTATTCGCTCTTCTTCGTGTGTGTGACCTGGTTTCTTGCCTCACTCCTTTGCTCCGATTAATCCTTCTCTCCTGGACCACCGCCCTGAATGTCACACAAAATATCATTCAAGGCCCAGCTCCAATGCCAACAAAATCTTTCCAGGGCCCTCCTAACCAGAAGTCATCTCTCTCTCAGTTCTCCTCTTCCACATTTCAACTAACTCTGTACCGTTCATCTCTTCCCACTAGACTGTAAGCTTCCTAGGGGAAGAAACATGTCTGATTCCTTTTTTCGCTACCACCATAGTACCTTATTTTGAAGTAGTTGCTAAACTAATAAAGCAATGGATATGTAAAATAATGCATACTTTTAAAATGTTTTTTAAAATCTACCAATGATGCTAATGATGCTTTCCATTTTTAATTAAGAGGAGAAAGAAAACCTGACGACTATGGAAAGACTGCTTTTGAAAAATAATCTTTAATTTTTTCAATCATTTTACTTATTTCGCAGATGAAGAACTGGCTGAAAACTTTTCTTCCAAAATCTATTCTGAAATACTGGTTTTATGAGTATTTAAATTTGTTCTAGACAATTCTAGAATAATGATACTTTAGCAAAAAAAAGATCTTCAAAAGACATCTCATCTCATTCATAACCTGCCCTCGACCCACTGCCCAAGCCATATATAAAACCTCTCAGAAAAATAAGAACTTATCCTACTTTAAGTGTGTCCTAGGATAAATTGCTTAGAATTCCTGGTGCTCCATTCTGATAGCTCTTTCTTTTTATTATTATTATAGCACGATTTCCCCCTGTCCCCACCCCGTTCCCCTTGGCAGCCTTCAGCTTGTTCTCCGTATCTGTGGGTCTGTTTCTGTTTCTGTTTTGTTTTGTTGAGACATTCTGATGTTTCTTGATCCTCCCTGTCACAGCATTACTCTATGATAAGTTAAACTGAGTTACTCATACTATGATTTTATTTGTCTCTTGGGAGGCAGTGTAGCCTAGTGGTTAAGACATGTGTCTTTTGAAGTCAGACTTCCTGTCTGTCTCTGGGAAAGTTATTTATTCACTCTCCATCTCAGATTCCTTGTCTATAAAGTGGGAATAATAATAGTAGTTATTTCACATGATATTGTTAAGGATTTGATGAAATCATATATGTTATTTAGCACAGTGTCTGAAACATAATAAATGATATATAAGTGTCACCATTATTTTTTCTTATTTTTCTTTGGATAGAAATTGATGAGAGATTGAGAATAGTTTCTTTGAATAGAGATTGGTAACAAAACAAAACAGAAACAGACCCATAGATACAGAGAACAAGCTGAGGGGTGCTGAACGCACGTGTGTATGCACACACCCCAACCGATAACCATACCTGGAGGTTCTCATTGAATGAATCTCTTTCTGGACTGGATAATCTCAACTCCTTTATGCTATATACGTTTTTATCAGACTAACTTTACAATCTTTTAAAAATTCTTCCTGTGGCCCTTCCTCTCAGTGAATTGAAGAGAGTATTTTTGGTATTTTGCTATTGCAACAAGGCCTCTAAAAGTCCCATCTATTTAACACACTTTTTTTTTAGAGTCACTCTCCGTGCAAGTCACAATAGGCACATACTGTTGCATAAGACAGGTGAGAGCCTTGCCTTCATGGGGTGTACAAATTCTTACTTGCAGAAACACTCTATTTACCATTAAACAAGCCACTTACCACTCTTTCGAATTCTCTCCTCCAATAGGTCAGTATGTCCAGCTGGAAGTTTCTTATTGAAAATCTCAGCTGAACGAAGGAACATAGCTTCAACGGCAGACCCTTTCAGCAAAGCAATCTGATCTTCATGGTCCAATGTCTGAAATCCTGGATGGAGATGATAATCGAATCAGTACCAAGGAGTTATAAATGCTGTGTAATAATATTTCGTCATCATAATCATCCCCATTGATAAAAAAAATTTCATAAAGTGATTTTGTAATTGTTTTAAGATTGGGTAGTTGAGACAATAAGTATCTATTGTTCTCTCCCAAATAGAAGTTGACTTTTTATCTTCATTGAATAGGATTTGATAAACAAGTTGGGCAAAAGAGGATGTCAAACCCACACCAAATATATAAATTATGATAAAGACAGGCTGGCCCAGATGAAGCAGCCCTCATAAATTAGAAGCAACCAGATGCTGTTTGAGCCATTATTTTAGTCATATCTGGTGACACAGGTTATCTCTGCAGGATGGAAGTATCTACAAGCCAGAAAAATCTATACGTGTGTCCAGAGGTTTAAAGGAATATTTGGCCAACTCAAAAATATTTATTCAATTTGGAGAATGGGTAGCATTAAAAGAAAAACTCCAATCAAGGTCATGTTGAAGTATCTTCTCTGAGCTCAGCACTGCACCATGCAGGGTGTGGAAAATCAGAGAAATGTGGGCAAAAATTGATAATCTAAAGGAATATTAACCACCTGGAAGATCCAAAGTCCTTATCCAGGTGTATATGCTATAGTACTCAGCAGCCTCTGTGACCTCATTCCCTTCTTTCTTCCCCTTCACTCATCATACTGGAGCCACACTGATCCCTGGATGTGTTGTGAACACACAAGCCTGCTTTTGCCTCAGAGGTGAATGCTCTTCCCCAATTATCCCCATGGCTCCCTGCTTTAAGGTGACCTTATCTAAACAGTACTCCCTAGCACTCACTAGTCCTTAACTGCTTTATTTTTATTCACAGAAAGTACCATTATCTGACAAGATATTATAGAATTATTTGTTTGATTATTTGTTAACTATCTGCCACCTCTACTGGAGGGTAAACTTCTTGGGGACAGACTTTGCCTGTTTTGTTCACTTTTGTATCCCCAGTACCAGGCACATAATTGGTATCCAAGAATTACTTCTTGAAAAATTGAATGACTGAAGGAATGAATGAGTAACAAACACAAGCTCGGGTGTACATATGCATGCACACACCCCATGAATAGAGATAAAATAATTCCTCCAGAGTCTAAATAGCTTAGGAAAGTATTAAATAGCAATGGGAGTTAAGAGAGAGTAATGCTAAGGATCAAGAAGTAACGTCGCTATTTTGAAGAATCTAAGCGCTGCTCTGAGGGCAGGAAACAGGCCAGGTCTCCAGCACCCTGGACAGGGCCCAGCACAGGTTAAGCTCAAATGAGCCTCAGAATGGAATGATCCAACACTGCCCTTCATAAAACACTC